TTTTTTTTCAACTTTCTACTCCAGCCTACAGCGCTCCATTCTTTCATCCAAATACTAATGAGGTCTGACTCTGCTTGACATTTTTCAAGACCAGCCAAGGTCAGCCAAATGGTGTCACTTGCCTTGACGGTTATTTCTAACAGAACAAGAGCCATACAAGAGCACAAATATCATTCCAAAAGCATGAGAACTATTGCGCAATCTATTCCAACCTTCCTCAGTTTGCAGCCCCCGGGGTGTTTTGGACTGCCACTCCTTTTGTTATTTATCATGAACTGTATCCTGGGCTTATAGGAATGATGGTCCAAAACATCTGAAGGGGACCATATTGGGAAGGCTGGCTTATATTGTCTACCAAATCTTTAAAATCTGATCATTTTATTATCATTTAGGCTCAGATCCTTTGCATATTTATGTATGAACAAATTCCATTGAAGGACCCTTGTTTAAAGAACTGCTAAATAGGCGCCCATCTTTTCATAAGAAAGAATTGAAATTGAAGGACAAAAATGGAATTGTGTTTTTTAATTACGGTAATTCATATTGCATATACATTATTGCAAACTCTGCTGGGACTCTCTGCTGCTTACATGTTTCAACACAGTCATAAATAATTCTGTAAAAATAGCCCATAATTCAATTAAAATGCAATATAGATTCCTCCCATAAACATGGCAGTCCTTGGATCTTATAGCAAGAAAGAGCTACAGTATCTTAAAAAGAAAATGAGGCTGGATCAAGGATATATTACATGTACTGAGTTGCCATTGAAACTGTTAACAATGTCTTAAGGCCCATGGGAACTAATTACAAATAACTTAAAGCCAAGTCCAATAGTTTTGCTAACCAGGAGCAGTTCCATTGGAGATGACAGCTTTCCAGCCAGAGTGCAGGATTAGTAAGTACACAGAAAATTAAGTGCCTAGTGTTGTATAAGAGAAATTTTGCAGTGCTAAGTGAGTATGATTCAAACTGTAAGTTTTACATATTTAAGTTATTAAGTAAATATTTAGTAATATATTCACTCAGACATTGGCACATTTTCTGCATATTGATAAACATGAATAGAATTAGTTTGCTGCTGAATTTCAGGGGTAGAAATTGAGTTTCCAAGAGCCAGTGCAATGCACAGGGTGCTGACCCAGCACCAACTCCCACCCACCCATCCACTTCTGAGGCTGCAAATCCATGCCCAGTCCTGAAACTCTGAGTTTCTATTTCTCAGCCTGAACTAACCTACAGGCATTTTATAAAGACAATACTGAAAGTAGAATACGTGAAGCCTGGGCATCATTCTAAATTCCTGCAAAGAAGGCTGGCATAAATACAACAAATACTTTTGCTCTCTTTTTTTTTTTCCCCTCCTATGTCAATAACTTTCTCAGCTGAATAATGCTGCACCCATTTTGGTTTGGCAGATCTTTTTTAAAAGCTTCTTGATTTTGGACTAACGTTTGTTGACATCTCTCTTCTGCTCTCTCTAGAGCAGGAAGACAAGAACTTTTAGGTAGCTTCGTAAATAAAGACACCCAGCCCTTTTCTTTGTACTATGAATAGGAACAAATGACCCCTACAAAGATTATTTACAACTTCATTTTGTCTCTCACATTCACCATCCTGGAAGACATCAACTCTGTTCCCTGCAGTGCTCCATTAAGAGCCACTAGCCAAATCAAACTATCACGGTCTGTAAACATTTCTTACATCCCACTGTGACTTCTAAAATTACATTTTCTGTGTTCCCTGTAAACAGAAAAGCAGAGGATTTTCTGTTCATCTCAGAAAAGGTTCTTTTCTCATGTCCTAGAATGTGGTCTGTTAATTGCTTCACCAGGAGCAAACTTGGGTCATCCTTTGAGAATGAAGTTGTTATAAAACAGCTATGTTGACAGATGGTACAAGTGGCATCACTAATCAAATCTGCCATGGTGTTTTCATGGCAATGGGGAATTATCACTGTGCCAGTAAATGGAAGGCTTATTAAATGTTCTGTTCTAAGCAGAAAATGCATTGTAATGATAGCTTGTGGAGTCATAAATTGGAGTCGCTAGAATGATTATATGCTCCGTGACTGATGGTTCTGTGACATATGCCTTGGAAACATTTTTCAGATACCTTCATTTGGAGCCAAGGCCATCTTGCTTCTCTAAAGCAGCATTACAATGAGGTATTTAGGCCCACCAGTGCATAAACAGCGAATGTTGAACAAGCAGGGTCCCTAAATCCATTCACTTCCGTGGGGTCAACTACTTCAGCTTATTCTGCAAAGCATTTTTTTTTTCTGTTCCACTCATACAGTTGAGGCATCCAGTTAATAAACAAAGATTACCCACTTCAGTAGGGACTTCAGTTTTTGCAAAGATAGGACAGGAGAGAACTACAAGAGTAAATAAAAATCCGTTTTCAATATTGCAAACTTAGTCTAGTGTTTTTTGTTTTTTGTTTTTTTTGTCAACCATATGTTTAACTCCCTTTCTGGGCACTTCCTGAAATATAGAGTAAATCCAAGCTTTTCTGATAGACCTTGAAAGCTGACCAGATTAACAGTTGAATATGCAAGCTTATTCACAGTTTATTTCTCCATGTGTACCACTGACCTTTTTGTTTCACTATTGGGTAGCTCCCAGCCAAGCATGCAACAAACTCAGACTCTAAGGGTAGCCTTCTGTATTGAAAAACAGATTTGTCATCTCTATATAACCATAAAACTATTTACGTCCCATATGCTTGAATATCTTGGCATCTTCACTCACTGTGCAAATCAGTACTTTAGTTTTGATTCATTGGGTCTACAGACCATTCAGGTATATGCGTCTTCCTCTTAGCTTCATCTCACACACACACAAACACACACACACCATAAGCAATGTTTTCATGGAGCTGTGCAGTGCGTAGCAATGATTCACACCTCCTTCTCCTTGAGCCAGCTGGCCAATGAGGAAGTTTCCAAAGCAGCACCTGAGGAAGCTCTACCCCTTTCATCCATTTCTTTTTTAAGTGGGAAGTGGGAGTGGGAAAAATTAATATCTCGGTGAGCCATATAGCATCTTTGTAGTGCTAATCTCAGGTGGAAAGAGTTTCTTTGTCACCTTAGGTTGTGTCTTTGGGTAACATTCTCTGCGTAAATGACATTTGAATTAATATTGCAGATTTAAGTGAGAAGCATTTTGAGTATGAAAGGTGCTAGAGGAATGTTTCCCAATCGTTAAGAAGAGTCATTATTCTGGTTATGTTTTGTTTATATTAGTATTATTTCAGTGCCAATGCTTATCTAGCCATAACTTATAAAAGAAGGTATGAGCAGGCTTAAGGGAACCTCAAAAGTAGCACAGAAGGCTTAAAAAAAGAAACCTAATGGGGTAAAAACACGAGAGACTCAAACCAGTTTTATGAGAATTGAGTGTGTACAGTGGGCAGTGGCTCAGGATGCCAAGTGTAGTCCTGGGGGAAGTGGTATGGCATAACTTAGCCTTGTGGGAAAAAAATCATATACTGGAACATGGTATATGAAGGATCATTCCACACTGCAATGTTTTGTTATAGGTTGAAATTATTTCTTTGCCTCTTCCAGTATAGAACTGCCTAAATGTTGAGACCAACATTAGAGGCTTTGTTTTATTGTTCCACCACACATCAGATGTGTGGGGTATGGATAAAGGAGACAGAACCTTCTCAGGTGAGATGTCAAAATTGTGGATTGACCTCCTGAAAGAGGCCAAGCTGTTCAGTGGGCACGTGCAATTTGCATCTGCTAATCTAAAACTGTTTAAATTCTGCTTCTGAACCCAGTGTATTATATCCTGTTGCCATTTGCATACATATTTTATTTTTCTCATGCAAGGTCTAGGGTTGTTTTTAAAGGGATAGTATATTTTATTCTGTTTTTAGTTGGAATGAAGATTTCTTCAATATTATTTGCAACAAATAAAATGAATGAATACCTTTTAACTTTAAAAACGACAGCTATCAAATGGACTTCTTTCAAAATAGTCTTGGTTGAATCTTAATTAATTATAAGAAATTGGAAATATATTAAGTTTGATTTACTGAATGTAGCAGTATAGATTGAATCATAGTGCCACTTTTCAGTCTAAGACTTCAAGTCATCTTATGGCAATTCCTATTTTATTTATTAGATTTACACTCAGCTGTTCTTCCAAGAGCTCTAAAAGGCATATCTAGTACTCCTATCCAATGTTTTCCTATAGCAACAACACTTTGGGGTAATTTGTCAGAGAGAGACAAGGCTGGCCCAGAGTCACCAATCAAGCATCCATGGCTAGGAGTATACTTGAACCTTGGTCTCCCTGGACCTAGTCCAACACTTTAACCACACTGTCATACTATACAGTTACGAAGAATAATTGTACCAGCTGTTTTTAAAATATATTCATTATCCATCATAAATTATACTTTGCAAAAAGGAGCTTCATTAATTTTAGTTAATTAGGATAAACGCTTATGAGCAATGAAAAATGAAACTTAAAGCAAAAAATCTCCTCCAAATTGCCCTTGAGAGTCTTTGGGATAGGTTCAACACCTGGTATACCTTTTGCAGACCGTTATGGATGCCTTGGTATCTCTGATCACCTACCATAATGAAAAGAAGGCTATGATATGCTTTGTGAATTATGGTTTTGTGGAATTTTAAATATAGAAAATGAATTAAAAAATCTGAAGAGAATAAATTAAATTGGCTTAAATCCACAGACTTGGGATCAAACCTTAATCTTCTACTACCAAGTACAATGAAGTTATTAACTATCCAGAGCAAAAAGTACTGACATTCCAAATTGTCTAATCATGGAAATTAATTTTTACAGGAAACATTAATCATTTTTAGTCAAAAAATGATTTGGAATGAAATGAATAACCTCTTAATCATACAGATTTAGCTGCAAAGGGCTGAAATTGCTTTTACTCTTTTTTCTCTCTCTTTACCCATCTAATCTATGTTTCATTGGCATCTGACTGATTTTAATCTCTTTTTATATTTAAAGGTGTTCGAGTGGATTTGATCGTCATCGTCAAGACTGGGTAGATAGTGGCTGCCCTGAAGAGGTGATGTCCAGATTTCCTCTGTTTATAATTCTATTATGAATAGTTGATTATTTAAAAGAAGAAGAAATACGAGACTATAGCCCTGATAGAGGAATAAAGTTCCTCTGAACAATGTTGAAAGGCAGTTTCTAGATTTATCCTTCTCCCTGGGAAGATCACTGTTGGCAGCTGAACATCTGTTCTGTCACTTACATCATGAACACCTGGTGTTGAATCCAAATGTACCTCTCTGTGTCCTAACAGCATGTTTTGAATATGGAAACTAAATCCAGAATTGTTATCACAAACTGAAATAAGTTTTTATCTAGCTTGGCCATAGTGTGTTGGAAAGCACATTACAATTATTGGAGACACTTACATTAAAAAAGAAATAGCATTGATATATGCAATTACAGTAGACCATTTATTGGTTTGCATGGATGTCAATATTGAGAGAGGTGCTGCTAGACCTGGATGTTAATTTAATGGGAAACCCCTGACTTGATTTTGTGTATAAGTGAAAGATTTCAAGGTTGAACATCAGGTGCATTGATCTTTAGCCCTGGATTATGTAGGCATGTATATATTCAATTTATATGGCCACCTGTCTCTAAGTGACAGTGAATCTCACGATTCTAAGTGGCTAACAATAATTAAAAACAGTATAAAAGCATAACACAAAAAAGAAATAATAGCATACACATAATCTGTAGCCAAGGTAAAAATCCACAACACTAATCAGCGCAGCCATTGCACAGGCTCAGAAACCCAGATTCCTAGACCCAGTGACAAAACCATGTCTTTAAGGCCTTGCAAAAGCCCTACAAGGTGAGGACTGATCTAATCTCAGAGCCAAATCTCAGTTTGGGGAAAAAAATAATACAATGAACTGTTTCATTCCTGATTCTTTTTCCAGTTCTTCAGTGACCAATCAATATACATATAATGGCTAGAAGTTTGAGCTTCTCCACCAATTATTGAGACTTCAGTGCTGTTTTAGCCAGAAAATATGCTGTCTCGATATTTGTAAAGTCTTGATTTAAAGTTTCCATTTTCACACACTCTTGAGTTTGCTTTAGATATCTGCAGATCTGAGACAAATGGCTTCCACTGAGAACCAATTTACTCCTTTCTTTGTATTTTTTCTTCTTCTGAAGTCTAAAGATAAGATTTGTGAGAAGAACATAGACACAACTCAAACTCCTCTTCATATCACCACTGCTGTACAGCAAACTACAAGGAGATTCAGAGTTTTAACAACTACCAAAGGAGCTATGACATCACATCTGCCAACTAGTTTACCCACAGAAGGTAAGAAACCAACGTAAAATGTGGTATCAGAAATGCTTAAAATTTGCAGTGTAATTCTGTCACATGAAATTTACCTACTCAGGAGATGTAATCCTTCAGTAATGATTATGATCTCATGATAGCAAAGACCATGATCCAAAACTTCCTACCACTCCTATTAAAAAAAAAGTGTTTCTGTAATTAATTAACTTTAATTCTATTCCTGTTTTGGACTGAAATTAGCTTTCAATATAATTAAGTAGCATCAAGAGGTCCCTAAAACTAGAATACTTCCTCAGTGATTCGAACATTGAGTCAACATTTTAGAATCATTGATTTGGAGTCATTGGGACCTTCTACACTGAAACTCTTTTATTTTTGAAGTATTTTAACATCCTTATTGGCCAAAAATTGTTGGAGATTGTTGGTTTCCATAAAAAGGTGAGTGTTTGGCTGTATTTTTCCCAAATGTATTAAGTGCTGGTGTTAGAGACTGTGTCACTTGCACGTGCTATGTACTGTTTTCCTGACATGTTTGATATTAAATCAGTATCTTGTAGAAGTGGGCAATATTCAGAATGAAAGACCTCTTTTGATAATGTGATGGTGATGATATTGTTTACAATCCAGCTTTTATTTTAGTAAATTGGAAGGATATTTTTTAAAAAATAACTAGCTTAAGTAATATACATAAATTAGGAGAATTAGCATATAAAAAGTACACATCAAGAAAATAGCCTGCAAAAATGCATATAAATGTTCATGCATAGGGAAACACACATGAAAACACAGAGGGTGGGGTGTTGAAAATGCAAACTGTTGTAGAAAATGGACAAGATGAATTGGTGCTTGAAAAACTGTATATTATAAAAAAACACACACACAGCAGATTTTCCATTATAATTTCCATGACATGTAAGCTGATGCGTAGTCTTGTCCATAGTTTTTTAATAAAACAGAGTTTAGCTTCTTTCTTTGACTTGTAAGAATTCAAATGTAATTTGTTGGCTTAAATTCAAGAATCAATCATATATCCATGAGATGGTAACTAACACAATTTATTAACCATCTAGTCAGGGGTTGTTGTTTTTTCCCCTCTATCTCTATCTTTGTGAGACGAGAATATCAAATATTCTTAATTTTGGTAGTTGCTGAATGAACCGTCAATGCTACTTTAGTAAAATAGAAATTCTGTTTTGCTTGTCTGTTGCAAGAAGATTTATACTTATGATGTAGTTGGTTATTGTAAAACATTTCAACAGCATTTCAGCTACATAGAAACCTTAAGCTTTTCAATCCTGCAGAGATAGCACAAACAGAAGCCTCCTAATGCAAAGGACTATTTTTGAGTGCAAGAACCTGAAAGAAAGGTTTAAGCACTGTCAATATAAGCTTTTGAGCTTTAATTCTATAGCACTAGTTCTTAGCGGCCAAAGTAATACTAGAAAGCTGAAAGAGTATAAAACATCACAATGTGGGAAAATGATATAAAATGGTAGCCTGTGCTGTGGAGTCAAATGATCCTGACTTCTGAAGATCAGGCAAAACTCATAAAAATAAAATATACTTTAAAAGATATAAACACTGCTCATGGAGAACATGAAAGCATTTTCATCAGCTATAGGTACAATCTGATTCATTAGTTCTGCCATTGTTTCGTTGTTTTTTCATATCCTGCATGAAGCTATTCCAAATTTTCATTCCAGAAATTTTTGGAGCAAAAGGAATGGTTCCAGGAGTGTAAAATATCACCCAAATTTTAAGAAAAAAGCCTTTGTTTCTTTATGCTTGTTTGCATTTTTGATATTACCCTTTTTGCTGCTCTGGTAGTGCTATTTTCTTCTTTCCTGCAATATGATTCCAACCAATCAGAAACTACAGGGAATCCAAAGTTACGGCATGAGGTTAAATATCTAATCAGCTTTGCTACCCAGCATTATTGCTTAGAAAAGTGTTGGGGGCACAGTCCACAGCTGGCATGCAGCCCTATCCCCCAAAACACTTGCTTGGCTTAGTTGGGCCTCCCATTAGTTAGATGCAGGGAACTGCAACAAATAATTAATTGCTTGCTTCATGTCTATTGTAATTTTCCCTCTAGGGAAAGGGAAAGGTATTTGTGGGATTTTCTGCCTCATGAATCAGAATGGCTTGGACGGCATTAGCCACAATGAATTTTGTCTTAGGCAGCAAAATATTTTTGGCTTGCCTGTCTTTCCACTCCGTCCACACGCACACATGTGTATACCATCCAAAGCCACATCATAAGCTGTTCAGACACACACAGCACCTTGAAGCCATGGCTCCCATTGAGGTTAGGTGGGCTGAATTTAGCCTGCAGGGCAGAGGTTTTCCACTCTTGTCTCAGAGCAAACACTTTGCTTCCTCGAGCGGAGGGGGAGGACTATATATTTGGGGTTGCTGAGCCAGTCAGACAGTGCTTCCTGTCTTCAGTGCTCTACTGCATCCAATCCATTGCTGACTGCTATTTCATGCTGTGTCAAATAGCCTCAGCAACGCAGGACAGCTACACGGCTTCACATGGATGGATAGGCAAGAAGTATCCACAGTTGTTTTAGACACGCAAGATGCACTTCTTCTCCAGCAGTCAGACATTTTTACCCTGGCTTCCTCCCCCAGTCAAAAAAGAGAACAGGAAAACATTCTTCATTTCAGCTCAGCAATCATGTTTTCCTAAATCAATTTTGTGACATTGCTTTTTATTGCTATAGTATAATTCAGAAACCTTTGATACAGCAGTTGGGGAGAGAAATCTCACTGATGTCTTTGAAAGAGCATAAGATCAGGTCTACTTAAAGATTTCCTATAACAGAAGGGGCCAGATCTTTAGTGCAAACATAAACTTCTCTAGAAACCTCTTTTAAATTCTTCATTGATTCATAGGACTACTCTTCCAACCCTTATTTCAAGAAGCATGAATCAAGAGTGCTACGTTTATTTAAAGTCACTTTATACATATAACCCATGTGGGATCAACTTCCAGTATCAGTAAACTGCAAATACTAATAAACACAGTATTAGATGTTTAGATCAAGTTCCATTCTCTAATAGCTTTGAATTTCTTTTTCTAGATGATACCAAGATAGCTCTACACCTAAAAGATAATGGAGGTAAGAGCTGCTATTTGTTGCATTCCGATAACCTGAACAGATCACCTAAGTACCATTCCATAAAACTATATTGGTCTATCTCAGTAGTAGTTTACCCTTGGACCACAGAAGCATAATTTGTCCACTTACCTGTACTACAATACTATGCAAGTTTACAATATTATGCAAGTCGCTCCTTAAGTGAGATGGGCGGTGACTAAATTTGAAATATAAATAAATAAAAAGATAAGATAAGATAAGATAAGATAAGATAAGATAATAGAATGCTAACTGTAGTCGGCTATCATCATTTGCATTACTCATTGTATCAATGAAGTAAACCTCTTTGACTGGCTAATTCATTTTTAGAATATATATCCTATCTTCCCCAACTAGACAAACAAATGTTGATAGTGATGCTCATATTCAAATCACAACACCTATCTGTTGAACACAAAGATACTTCAACAAAAAAACAAGCACCTCTACCAGTATTTCAGCCTTAGATACCTGGTCAGACCTTTCTCTCTCTCTCTCTCTCTCAGAGGTTCACCCATAGTAGCATGTCCATTTATCTCATATTATTGCAATACAAGTTCTTGGGAAGTGAATACCTATTATTAATCGTAACAAAAATCTCAAATTTAGATATTGTTCTAAGCAAGTTGAACAAGGTAATTATTGTGGTGCTTCAGAACCATTTCTTCTGTGTATGTTGTCCCTCACAAAAATCAAAACTGCATGCACTGTTATTTGCTGGAATAATCATGGATACTGGTGAATCTCCATTACATAAATGGTTTCATTTATGTTTATGGATGATGATAATGAATTTAGGTTCTATTTTTGTATTCTATTTTGCTGTTTTTAATCCTCTGTGCACCACCCAAGTTAGCTACAGTATATAAATTGCATAAATAAATAAACATTCCCCAAATTAGCCTGATTTATATTTCAACATTAACTGGTAGAAGCAACAAAACAGATACAGTTGGATCTGCCCAACCACTAAATCTCCTTTTGAGAGAGACTTTGATTTCTTGATCCTTACAGATTGACTTCTCTGACTTTTTAAAGTGAATTTTTGAGCCATGTCTGTTTTACTTTTCAAACCTATATTTGTGACTCATGAACTTGTGACTTCTTTTGAAAGTTGTGTTGGCACTGAACCAGACATTTTTTCACAACTGAGCAGCCCAATTGTAGATAATAATATATCAGGGATGTAAGTAATGGAACCATGGTTGTCTGCAGGGAAGATGATGACAGCATTATGATCCAAGCCCCACCCATCTTGTAAATGCATGTACCAAAGGAAAGGGAATTTAATGCCTGCACACACACACACACATACATGCCCAGTTACTGGTAAATGGAATATGCTGATACAGAATGATATCTGTTGTTAGGTGAACAAAAACAAATCTTTGCCCTACATCTCCTCTTAGCATCCTGTCTCTGCTGAAAAACTTCAGACAATTCAAGGGGTTACCAAAGATCCTAGCAAAAGAAAAAAAGAAAAAAAAGTGGAAGAGGAAAAATGTAAAACTGAGTAGAAGACTGCTACACTGCTCTTAACAGGCTCCTGATTTGGGTGATTCCTTCTCCATTGCAGCATGACTTCCACAGTCCATATTTGAGAGATGATAAATTAATACACTTTCATGAGAAAAATTCTGGAAGATCAATGGATGGTCTATGGCAGTGTTGTCCAAACTTGGCCACTTTAAGATGAGTGGACTTCAACTCCCAGAATTCCCCAGCCAGACACTATAGGTAGTTATACAAGCTTTATGCACACTCTGACACCCCTTTTCCACTTGTTGACACCCTCTTTTCTTTCTCTCTTTCTGAAGAAACAGGTGGCAGGACAGCAAATAGTTTAGTTGTGCTTACTAAATTCTGAACTACTTCTTGCATGAG